CTTCACAGAACTGGAAAAAAACCACCTTAAACTTCATATGGAACCAAAAGAGGGCCCACATAGCCAAGACAATTCTAAGCAAAAAGAACAAAGCTGGAGGCATCATGCTACCTGACTTCAAACAATACTACAAACCTGCAGTAATCAAAACAGCATGGTGCTGGTACCAAAAGAGAGATATAGACTAATGGAACAGAACAGAGGCCTTGGAGGCAACGCCACACATCTACAACCATCTGATCTTTGACAAACCTGACAAAAACAAGCAATGGGGAAAGGAATCCCTGTTTGATAAACGGTGTTGGGAAAACTGGCTAGCCATGTGCAGAAAGCAGAAACTGGTCCCCTTCCTGTCACCTTACACTAAAATTAACTCCAGGTGGATTAAAGACTTAAACATAAGACCTAACACCATAAAAACCCTAGAAGAAAACCTAGGCAAAACGATTCAGGACATAGGTATAGGCAAGGACTTCATCACTAAAAACCAAAAGCATTGGTAACAAAAGCCAAAATAGGTAAATGGGCCCTAGTTAAACTCCAGAGCTTCTGTACTGCAGAAGAAACCATCATTAGAGTGAACTGCCAACCAAAAGAATGGGAAAAATTTTTTGCAATCTATCCATCTGACAAAGGGCTAATATCCAGAAACTATAAAGAACTAAAGCAGATTTACAAGAAAAAAACAAACAAACCCATTCAAAAGTGGATTAAGGATATGAACAGACACTTTTCAAAAAAAGACATTTATGAGGCCAACAAACATGAAAAAATGCTCATCATCCCTGGTCATTAGAGAAATGCAAATCAAAACCACATTGAGATACCAGCCCACTCCAGTCAGAATGAGGATCATTAAAAAATCTGGAGACAACAGATGCTGGAGAGAATGTGGAGAAATAGGAACACTTTTACACTGTTGGTGGGCGTGTAAATTAGTTCAGCCATTGTAGAAGATAGTGTGGCGATTCCTCAAGGACCTAGAAATAGAAATTCCATTTGACCCAGCAATCCCATTACTGGTTTATCCAAAGGATTATAAATTGTTCCATTATAAAGACATATGCACATGTATGTTCACTGCGGCACTGTTTATAATAGCAAAGACCTGGAACCAATCCAAATGCCCATAGATGATAGACTGGACAAGGAAAATGTGGCACATATACACCATGGAATTCTATGCAGCCATAAAAACATGATGAGTTTGTGTCCTTTGTAGGGACATGGATGAATCTAGAAACCATCATTCTCAGCAAACTGACACAAGAACAGAAAATCAAACACCGCATGTTCTCACTCATAGGTGAGTATTGAACAATGAGGACACATGGATACAGGGAGGGAAGCATCACACACTGGGGTCTGTTGGTGGTGAATAGGGGAGGGACAGTCGAGGGTAGGGAGGTTTGGGAGGGATAACATGAGGAGAAATGCCAGATATAGGTGATGGGATATGGAGGCAGCAAACCACATTGCCATGTATGTACTTATGCAACAATCCTGCGTGATCTGCACATGTACCCCAGACCTAAAGTGCAATAAAAAATATATATGTATAAAAGACATCAGATATCTTGAGAAAATTAAGAAACTGTAATTTTTTTTAAACCTCAGTTTACAAGCTTCCAGCTGTAGGCGGGTGTTGAACAAAGAGAACACATGGACACAGGGAGGGGAGCACCACACACTGGGGTCTGTTGGGGGGAAATGGGGGAGGGACAGGGAGGTGGGGAGGTGGGAAGAGATAGCATGGGGAGAAATGACAGATACAGGTAAGGGGAAGGAAGGCAGCAAACCACACTGCCATGTGTGTACCTATGCAACAATCTTGCACGTTCTTCACATGTACCCCCAAACCTAAAATGAAATAAAAAAAGAAAAATAATGAATTTCCTACGAAGGAAAAAAAAATCAAAGTGGCTCTGGAATTCTCATCTGCAATATCAGAAGCTAGAAAAAAGTAGGCACAATATCTGTAGAACAATAAAAGAAAAGGACTACAGCCCCAAAATCATATGCCCAGCTAAATTATCATTTCAGAGGAAAAAAAGATGATATTCAGTAACTAAATTGTACACTGAAATATACCAACTAAGGAGAATATAATACAGTTCACAGTCTTCACATGTAGCTCTGAATAGGGGACCAGCTGAAAACAACTGAGGCACATTCACAAAATAGAGTATAATGCAGTTAACAGAAATAATAACTTTGTTATAACAAATTACAGAGAGGGATTTATATAAGCTGTGTCTGAAAAATTCAAGACGGAACATATGTATATCCCAGTTCCACAAAATAAAACACATCCTCTATATGTGTATATAGATCTATATAGGATTGTAATATGAAAGAACACAGGCTAGGTTAATAACTTGGTTTGTGGCAGCAGGGGCAAGGAATGGGGAATGTGGTATTAATGTGGAAAGAGAGGGGTGTTTATGATAATAGCATGTTGAACATCCCATTATACAAAATTATATGTATCATAAGAGATGGATGAAGAATGTCCATGAAAATGTTAGTGGTGGTTACCTTATGGTATTATAATTCTAGGTGACCACTACCTTCTTTTTTAGGGCTTTATGTTGTTTGAATTATTTATAATGAGCCTATGTATCTATATAACTAGAAATAAGTAAAACAGATATTTGCAGTTTGGAAGAAGGCTTCCTTTTTCTTAAAAAGAAATTTCCAATTTTAATAGCTTTTCTTTTTTTTTTTTTGAGGTGGGGGAGACAAGGTCTCATTATGTCACCCAGGCTGGAGTGTAGTGGCATAATCTTGGCTCAATGCAGCCTCGACCTCAGAGGTTCAAGTGATCCTTCTGACTCAGTTTCCCAAGTAGCTGGAACTAGAAGCATGTAAAACACACTTGGGTAATTTTTGTATTTTTTTTTAGGCATGAGGTTTCATCATGTTGCCCAGGCTGGTTTTGAACCCCTGATCTCAAGTGATCTGCCAGCCTTGGCCTACCAAAGTATTAGGATTACAACCATCATGCCCAGCCAATAGCTTTTTCAAAATAGTTTTCTTCAAAGGTCAAATGCACCCTCACCAAGGGAACAAGAGTGAAAGTAGAATGACCTCGGCTTAATAAATCAATGATTTGAAACTATCAGAAGAAAACATAGAGAAAATGCTCCATGACATTGGTCTGGGCAATGATTTTTTTGGATATGACCTCAAAAGCACAGTGACAAAGGCACAAGTACAGTAATGAAATTACATGAAACTAAAAAGCTTCTGCACAGCTTTTTAGGAAACAATAGGGTGAAGAAACAATGGAGAAAAAATATCTACAAACTATAGATCTGATAAGGGGTTACTATCTAAGGAACTCTACTCAAAAGCAAGAAAACAACCCAATTAAAAATGGGCACAGAACCTGAAAAGACAGTTTTCAAAAGAAGACATGCAAATGGCCAGCAGATATATGAAAAAATTCTCAACATCAGTAGTTACTAGGGAAATGCAAATTAAAACCACAATGAGATATCACCTCATACCTGTTAGAATGGGTATTATCAACAAGACAAAAGATAACAAGTTGGCAAGGATGTGAAGAAAAGGGAACTTTTGCATATTCTTGGTAGGAATGTAAGTTAGTACAGGTATTATGGAAGACAGTATGGAGGTTCTGCAAAAAGTTAAAATTAGAACTACATATGCTCCATCAATCCTACTACTGGGCTTATATCCAAAGGATATGAAATCAGTGTGTCAGAGATATCTGCACTCCTAGGTTCATTGCAGCATTATTCACAATAGCCAGAATATGGCATCAACCTAAGCAATTATCAATGGTTGAATGGATAAATAAAATGTGGTACATATATATAAATGGTTGACCTCATAGAAGTAGAGGGTAGCTGGGCGTGGTGGCTCACGCCTGTAATCCCTGCACTTTGGGAGGCTGAGGTGGGCAGATTACCTGAGGTTGGCAGTTTGAGATCAGCCTGACCAACATGGAGAAACCCCATCTCTACTAAAAATACAAAATTAGCTGGGTGTGGTGGTGCATGCCTGTAATCCCAGCTATTGGAGAGGCTGAGGCAGGAGAATTGCTTACACCCAGGAGGCGGAGGTTGTGGTGAGCTGAGATTGCGCCATTGCACCCAGCCTGGGCAACAAGAGCAAAATTCTGTCTCAAAAAAAAAGAAGTAGAGGGTAGAATGGTGGTTAACAGGAGCTAGGGTGGTTGCAGAGACACTGGTCAAAGGATACAAAATTTCAGTTACATAGGGGGAATTAGTGCAAGAGACTTATTGCACAACATAGTAACTATAGTTACAACATTACAATTAATCTTGAAAAATGGTAAGAGAATGGATGTAAAGTGTTCTTACCACAAAAATGGTAACTATGTGAGGTAGTGCATATGTTAATTAGTTAGATTTAGTCATTCTATAATGTATGTATGCTTCAAAACAGTATGTTGTACATGGCAAATACATAAAATTTTATGTGTCAATTGGAAAAAAAAAATCAATTGTAAAAGCAAGTGTATGGAAAACATTTGGCTAGAAAGGTCTGATATGAGGTCTAACCCCTATACACTTAAAAGCTCAAAAACTGGCCAGGGAGGGTGGGGCTCACACCTGTAATCCCAGCATTTTGGGAGCCCGGGCCCGGGGATCATTTGAGGTCAGGAGTTCATGACCAGCCTGGTCAACATAGTGAAACCCTGTCTCTTCTAAAAATACAAAATAGTAGCTGGGCGTGGTGGTGGGAGCCTGTCATCCCAGCTACTCGGGAGGCTGAGGGAGGAGAATTGCCTGAACCTGGGAGGTGACGACAGTGGTGAGCTGAGATTGTGACACTGCACTCCAGCAGCGTGAAACTCTGCCTCAGAAAAACAAAAACCAAAACCTCAACAACTGTATACTTTTGGTATTCAAGTTCTTAAAAGCCTTGTTTACTAGTCTACTGCTGGTAAGGATCAGGAAGGGAATATTATTACCTTCATGATAATCATTTGTGGGTTGACGCAGAAGGAGACAGTAACATAGGAATTTTCTTACAACATTTCATGTTTAAGCCAGATTCCTTTCAAGGATATTTTCTGCTTGAATGGATGAGGCAAGATTTGGTCATGTCTTAATGAGTTTCATAGAAAGAGAGTTCAAGCATGAGTGCAAACTGCCTTCTGACATTAAAATAAAGTGAACAAGGGATGTTCACAAAGTTAAAAGCCTCCTGTGATAAACTTTTTGGATTGTAGGAGATATTGAGCCCAAAAATGTTTAACATAAAGCTAAAGAATGGTTACTTAAATGAAATCACTGCAAAATGTGAATAGATGAAAAATAAAATAATTTTGATGTTACCATTTCAACTAGTATTTTTGATATACTCATTCTTGGCAAAATCATTCTTGAAGGTGGAAATGAGCAGGCCGATAGTAGAGCAAGTAGGAGAAGGTCAATGCTGATGGCCTCCACTTGGTGATCCTCTGAAACTGCATCTTGTATTTCATAAAATCTGCTGAAAGTCACAGTTGAGGTACAATGACTGTGTACTTGTACTGTAGCAATCGGGGTTTCCCCAGGCCACAACTGCTTTCAAGGAACACATTTGGATTAAATAAATGATACAGAAGTCTGTTTTAGGATTTTATGCAAATATTAACCTCATTTTAAAACATGAGGAAACAAATTACCCACATTTAGGGTTAATTTAGCTGTCAGGAATAGACCGTACAATTGAAAAAAAAACACATACGGTCTCATTTAAAAAGTTTCAGCAGACACACAAAGGTACTAAAGGTTGATATTTATCCTTCTTCATCACTGCTACTCCAGGCATCTTCAAAGGCTGGATTTAATTGTGATTTTGTTGTAGTCTAAAAAAAAAAATAAAGAAGATTGTTTTTTTCTACTTCATAATTTTAGGCTCATAATAAAGTTATGAAATATATCAGATAAATAGCAATTATATTATTTTGGAAGAAAATGTATAAATGTATAACTTAATTTCAGAACATACAATATAAGATAATACAACTCCATTTTAGACAGACAATACTAGACTTTATCTAAACACTCTATTTCCTTTAATCACCTCACAAATACATACTTATAAATATATATACCATGATGCTGCTATTGCTCAAGGTATTTCTCAACAACTCTTTGGAATTACCTGGAGAAAGTGGAACTCTGACATCCATGGGCTAAGACTGGACTCCAGGTGTATAGTCTGACCTGACAGCTCAAAATATCAATGTTGGCAACTCTTTATTGTTTGGATGAAAATAACTTTTATAAATAAACAAATAGCCAAATATGGAGAATAAAGTATTCATCAAGCTCAATAATACCATTTTTAGTCCAAAAAATAATGTGGGTTATTAATATAATATTTATGTACTTATTTTTAAGTACTGATATTTATTTACTTATTTTTATAGGTTGATAGAGCAGTTTAGTAAAACATGCAAAATATGTCAAAAATGGTAACATGTTTATAATCAGCACACAGGTTTTCCTTAGAGATTTCTCTGAAGGATAACGTGTATCTAGATTATGTTTATTTAAAACAACAACAAAGCATCACAGTATTCTTACAGATTTAGAGCCATACCTAAAATAAAGGTGATTAGCAATTAGAGAAATTTTAATAATCTGTGGCATTTCAAATCATTCATTTTGGGGAAAACTTTTGAATAGCTACCTTCTGATTCTCTGGCAAATAACTAAAAGGGCTTTAAGATGATCTCATTTTTAAAGTACTTGGGTATTATGAGCCAGGTTTGCTTCCTTTTGTGCAACTTTTACAACTGCTACAATTTTAGTCAGATTCAAATTCCAGTTCTGTACTAGCATCAAGACTACCCTTAAGTTATTTTAGGTGTATTGCCTTTTATAACTTACAGAAATATTTTTTAAGGGTAACCCCTACTGCATTATCTGAGAATGTTCATTTTCCTTTTGATGAATATGATAACTTTGAATCTTACAATGAAAACAGTAGAAAAAGTTAAGTGTTTCCCGTAAATTTCCCAAGTATCAGCTAGGATAGTTGGAAAACAATATGTTGATTTAGGCATTCTTTATTGTTAAACAGATTAGAGTACATTATTAAATCTAATGTCGGCTATTTTCACTTAGGTATACAACCAAAATTCTATTATACTTCAAATGTCCTGATACAAAACTATTATTATTATTATTATTATTATTATTATTATTATTGAGATGAAGCCTTGCTCTGTCACCCAGGCTGGAGTGCAGTAGCATGATCTCGGCTCACTGCAACCTCCACCTCCCAGGTTCAAGCGATTCTTCTGCCTCAGCTTCCCGAGTAGCTGGGACTATAGGCACATGTCACCACACCTGGCTAATTTTTGTATTTTTAGTAGAGACAGGTTTTCACCATATTGGCCAGATTGGTCTCGAACTCCCGACCTTGAGATCTGCCTGCCTTGACCTCCCAAAATGCTGGGATTATGGGCAGGAGCCACCATGCCCAGTCATAAAACTATTACTAAACTTCAGCTAACTACTCACTGATTTCTAGCCACAGTCTACTTATTTGCAATGGTAGAATACTGAGGTCTGTTCATTTATTCTTTCATCCAAACATTTACTGAATTTCCTGTCTTTTTGGGTTTTCAATTTAACTACTAAATTAGGTTATTTACTGAGAATTTATTAAAAGACATCTTGTCATTGGTAGTTAGATGAGTCCTCCTCCCTACTCTGTGTCTACAGCCCTCTAACTTTGACTTTAATAGCTACTAAGAATAGCCCTGGGAAAACACACACACACACACACACACACACACACACACACACACACACACACGTCCCTGGGTGGATAAGCCACACTTCCTAATCCTCTGATCAAGTGTCACTACTATTACCTATTACTTCAGTTTTCTCTACAACATCTCCTCCTAGTGGACATCCAGTTTGTGCTTGAACATAATACATCTATCTCACCAGGTTGTCAGTTCTACTGACAGTGTGAATGTTATAGAAATAAAGAGTTTAGACGGGACCTAGTTATGAATTTAGAGAAGGAATAAAACCAGACTTAACATCTACAAGGATATTTCTTGATAACTTTCAAATTTCTGACTGGTAAACAGTGGCAAGTCTCAGTTGTCAGCAAGTGATTATATATGGGCACAAGTGATATGTAAAACAATGATGTATTGTGTGAATGTCAAAACAAAGTAAGATTCTTAGTGAGAGGTCAGATTTAAACTGGAATAAACCTGCCCTACAGATTGCAGGCAGGAAAAAGTGATTAGGAGTTATAGATAGGCTTGTCTTGACAGATCAGCTTTTAGAAAGTAGAGTCAAAATGAAGCCATATTCCTCAAAATATAATAAATAGTCTATCAATTAAATAATGGGATTTACACTTAAAGACCATAAATCCTGTCCCTGTCATTCAGTGTCTTTCCTTTCCTTAGACAGAATTAAATTGATCTTCTACTTTGGATATCAGGAGAAACACCCCCTAAGGGATTATATTTTGGTTGATGGGGAGGTAACTCTCATCTGAAGGATGCATTTGAAAGGAAACCTAAGAATAACTTTGATTAGACAATTCTGGTATTTGGAAATATCATAAGCTTGTCCCAGATCGTAAGTATAATGAACAACAGAACTGGGATTCAAACCCAGTTTACCTGAAGCTAAACACTAAGTACATGTGTATATATGTGTATGTGCTTTTTGTTTTGTAGTATGCTACACTGCCTCCTTGGAAGATAAATATTAAATAAATATACTTAATTTATAATTGGGATAAAAGCACTTTCCAATATCGCTTAAATTATTAACATACATGTAAGGAGCAGGATCTTCTGGACAGGCTGTTCTATTGGGATCTGTATTACGATCACATTCATGTTCTACCTATATTCACAGGAATCTTTCAAGTTAAAATTTTATGGAAATAACCTTAGCACCTACCATTTTGTGTTAATATGAGAATAACTGCTATCTTAAAATATCTGAACATGGCATTTTAAAAGGTAAGGTTTTATAGCTCTAAACCAAATACAAAAGTCAACTTGATTTTTGCATATTTCTGTGAGTTTCTAACTGGTTTTACTTAATTTCTCATATACAAAAGTTTTTTTACACAAAGAGTTCAAATTATCACTATAATGACATAACAAGGAAATAAACCATCAGTCACATATTATCTTTTTTTTGTTGTTTGAGTCAGGGTCTCACTCTGTTATGTAGGCTGGAGTACAGTGCTGCAATCGGGGCTCACTGGAGCCTTGAACTCTTGGGCTCAAGTGATCCTCCCACCTCAGCCTCCTAAGTAGCTGGAACTATAGGTGTAAGCTACCAAATCTGGCTAATTTTGTTTATTTTTTGTACAGATGGGGTCTTCTATGTTGCCCAGGCTAGTCTCAAACTCCTGAACTTAAGTGATTCTCCCACCTCAGTCTCTCAAAGTGCTGAGATTACGGGTGTGAGCCACGACACCTGGCCAAATATTATCTTTATGAATTAAACAGTGTGGTATTCTTCTAACATCCTTTTCAATACATAAGTCACTATAGATTTACTTTTCATTTATTTTTTACTGTTTTCATTTGGTAAATAAAATGTTATACTTCCTAACATGGCTTACAGTGTTATAACTTGGATTTAATGTATATAGCAATTCCCAAAGAACAGGACACAATAATTCCATAATAAAATGTAAAATAAATAGCTAAATCCAATTATTTGATCATATTAAGCTTTATACAGAAGAATATTCTGATATCAAAAGCAGCTGTATGCTAAAGTTAATCAAGCCACAATAAACCAAATTAGACATGTGATAAAATCTAGAAGTATGCCTATGGCATTGGCTGACTACTTGAAGATTTATTGGTGTATTTTTTTCTCTTTCTTTGAATTAAGGACAAAAGAAAATAATTCACAGGTTTTACACTGCAGGAAACTCTGGCAGTTGACAATTTAGGTAAGAAATATATTTTGTCAATAGCTGTGAGAGGCTATCAACTACCTCTATACAAATCATATTTTATGTGGTTTTTGACATAGTCCTGTTTTCATAAAGGAACTAAACAGTATATGAAAAATGTTTTTTGACTGTCAAACATACTCTATCATAACTTTTCCTCAACCTCCATTTAAGATGCTTTTACTATGACTTGCTTAAGATTACCTTAAGGTATTTCTAACTACATTATTTATATTTCCAACTTAAATAATTATTCATATATATATACACACACAAATACATGTATATACATTGTTTTTAGACATTGCTTTTAGACTTTTTATATTGTGGAAATTTAGATAAATGAAGATGATTAACAGTGCTTAGGAGAATAAACTTTGGTGGGAGAGAAATCACCTTTAAACAGCCTTTATCTTCCTACTGCTTGATGTAAAAGTTGAAAAAAAAAATACAGAGGCTATTACTTTAGGCCAGGGAGAATGGTCTTACTCATCTTTGTTTACCTGCTGCATTTTTAAGGACTTTATTTACACCATCATGTTTATACTGATTTATGTTCTATGATAGGCACTGTCAGACTGCCGGTAGGAGCGTAAACTGGTAAAATTTGACACGAGAATAAAGTCTTGAAAATGTCAGCTGGGCATGGTGGCTCATGGATGTAATTCGAGCACCTTAGGAAGCCAAGGCAAGTGGGTCACTTGAGGTGAAGAGTTCATGACCAGCCTGGCCAACATGGTGAAACCCCATCTCTATTGAAAATACAAAAATTAGCCAGGTGTGGTGGTGGTGGGCACCTGTAATCTCAGCTACTTGGGAGGCTGGGGCAGGAGAATTGCTTGAATCTGGGAGGCAGAAGTTGCAGTAAGCCAAGATTGCACCATTGCACTCCAGCCTGGGCAACAGTGTGAAACTCAATCTCAAAATAAATAAATAAATAAAATAAAATAAAAAGTCATACATCGTAATTCAAGAGATAAGTCCACTTCTAGGAATCTATCTAAAGACATAATAAAAAATATCAACAATTTTTGAACAGATTTTTACCTTGATGTTTATAATAATTGACAGAAATGTTTCCAACTAGGTATTTAAATTGTTTTATCAATGACAGAATACTGTATCATTAGAAATGTTTACACACAGTTACTAATGACACAAAAAAGGTTAATTGTACAATGTTGATCAGAAAAGTAAGATACCAAGTTGAATGTCCAACCATGATATGAACTATGTTAAAAAACATATGCAAAGGAAAAAAACAGTTATGAAACAAATCAAAATGTTAATATTGACTAATCCAGTTTGAGGAATTTTATGTTCTTCTTTTGCTATTTTTCTGAATTTTCCAAATGTATTAAAACAGTGCAATTATTTTTACAATCTGAAAATACCAAGACATGCTTTTTTTTTTTTTTTTTTTTTTTGTTGTTGTTGTTTAGAGATGGGGTCTCACTACGTTGCCCAGGCTGGTCTTGATTTCTTGGGTTCAAATGATCATCTTGCCTCAGTCTCCCAAGTACCTGTGATTATAGGTGCAGGCCACTGGCAAGAAATGCTTTAAAAGTCTCTCTCATATAAAGTAAAGTAATGAAACATTATTTCTGATGACTTAGAAGTCACTGTACAATTTGTGAAAATAATGTTTACCTCATCATCATCAGGAACTGGCTCATATAAGGATGGAACCCATGCCAGAATGTTGCAGTCTCTGCTGCCACTATAAAGTTCCTATAACACAGAAAGCAAAGATGATACTGTGGATCAAAAGCTGATACCAAACAAATAATTGTATCATTTTTGAAACAATTAGGTCACAGGACTTACATTAATGCTATTTCTACTCCCTAAAGAAACTAGGCTGATGCTCTTTTTTCTCTCTTTCTTTCTTTGTTAGTAAAGCTTTGTTTGTATTTAAAAATAGTATTAGGATTTGTCAGAGCTTACTAATGGTGTGAAATTTTACAAATACACCCCAAATCTTAGCAGTTTTATCGATTACAGTATCCATATATTTCTAATATCAGAGAAAGAAAAAAATAGTTTGTCTTTCTGTTTTCAGAAACTGAGCGTCAATAAAGACTTCAGTGAAGAAACCATATGAGCTTCTACTAAAATAGGCCGAGTTCACACAAAGTTTTATTTAGCTCACAGCTGCCTAACTGGCTGCAATTCAACAGAAGAGCTTGAAGACATATAGCCCATGCCTGTTGAGAAGTTTACTTCATAAAGGGAAGCTTGAGCTGATGCACAGCCTATGTCACTATCTGTGGATATGCTGTTTGCTTATGGCTGAACAATGCTCACTCCCCTCCGCAACCAAACCGAAGGAATATGTTATATTGGCTTTTTTTCCTCTGCTGTTTTATACAATTTATTTGTATTACTGTATATATCAAAAACAATATGAGGCATGGTATAATTATGTTTTTCTTTTCTTTTTTTTTTTTTTTTTTTGAGACGGAGTTTTGCTCTTTACCCAGGCTGGAGTGCACTGGCACGATCTCGGTTTGCCGCAACCTCCGCCTCCTGGGTTCAGGCAATTCTCCTGCCTCAGCCTCTTGAATTATGTTTTTTATTTAAGTAAGGATGTGAGTAAAGGGGAAATAAGATTATATGGATATTTATAGAAAATTTTTAAAATTTAAAAAATTGTTAGAGATACATTAGCAAATTTCCTAAATATAACACAATTTTATTGACTGTATTATAAAATCTAGACTATATGGTTACACTAACTGTGGCTGATACAAAGATATGTATGTTCAGTGCCCTTGAGTAATTTTATTTCTTTGAGAAGGCCAGGTAATGCCCAAGATAACTTGGTCAGATAAGCTTATAGGGCAATTCACAATAAGTACTAACACACCCAGTGAAGCCATAAAGGATATTCTGTAGATGTTCGAGAAAGAGATACTGAAATTAGAATGACTTATAACATTTAGATGTGAGGATTTACATTAAGCCTTGAAATGTCTGTGATAGATTCAGGAGTTCATCTGGGCAATTAGAATTTCCTAAAAAATAATCTCAAAATGTAAGTTACAAGTGCAGTAAAACATTTAAAAAAAATTAATATTTAATAGTTAAATATTTTTTCCCCTAAATCATGAAAGTTGCCAACCTAAGGCCTTATTACTCTTAAATAATTCAGTGTATTTTTCCTGTGAACAAGGTACTTTCCTTTATAGTTACAAAGTAACCAACCAAGTCAGAAAATTCATATTATTACCACCATCTAATTCTTAGACCCCATTCACGTTTCATCATTTGTTCCAATACTGTCCTTTATAGCAAAGGGACCAGTTAAAAATCACATGCTGCACTTAGTTGTCAAGTCTCTTTAGTTTTCAAGCTGAAGCAGGTCTTCAGTTTCTTTGTCTTTTCTGACCTTGACAATTTTGGAGCTATATACCAGTTACTTTGTGGAATGTCCTTCACATTTGGCTTGTGTTTCCTCATGATTAAATTTGGGTGATCCAATTTGGCCAGGAATATCACAGAAGTGATGTCCCATAACTGAGATGCTAATTTAGATTATTTGGTGAAGGTGATGTGTGTCAGGCTTCTTCAGGGTAAAATTAGTATTTTTACCTTTGTACTTCACATTTTGTGGGAGATACATTGAGATTATGTAAATATCTCATTCCTCATCAAATTTTCAATTCATTAATTTATTTACTTATACCAGCCTAGATTCATGAATTTCTATTTCAGTCAATAGGTTGTAATCCATTAGTATCATTATTTATTTTGATGTTGAGTGTATCTTATCTAATATTTTTCCCCCTTGGAGACAAAGTCTCATTCTGTTGCCCATGTTGAAGTGCAGTGGTGTGAACACAGCTCACTCAATCTACTGGGCTCAAGCGTTACTCTTGCTTCAACCTTCTGCACAGCTAGGGCTACAGGCATACACCACCACACCTGGCTAATTTTTTGATTTTTTTGTAAATATGGGGTTTCATTCTATATCTTAGGCTGGTCTGGAACTCCTGGGCTCAAGTGATCCTTTTGGCCTCCCAAAGTGCTGGGATTACAGATGTGAACCATTGTGCCCAGCCATTGGCACGATTTTAATCCATTCTAGGCATATCTATTAGGAAGCTCCAGTTTGGTAGAAAGAAATAATTTGTTGTCAGAGTACCTGGGGTGAAATCTTGGCTGTGTCTCTAAGTAATTTTGGACAAGAAAAGAGATACAGTATTTTAAGAATTTCTTTGAATATCAATACATGGCTTATCAATAACTACTTGTAAGTTAGGGGCAAGTCATGTCACCTCTCTGGTGCTTTAGTTTTCTTCTCCCAGAACACTAAATATGTTTAACAACTGGTATACTAGGACAATGACTAATAAGAAGAGATACTGGCTATAGAGTTGAAGTAGGGTCCTGTAGGTCCTCTTTTAGTTGCTGGGGTAAGGTGAGGTCTAATAGGTCCCAGGTAAGGGCTGAGGCTGGAGGTCACTTGGGGGGCTTGGTGTACCAGCTGTTTACCAGCCAGTAGGATATATAAGTATTTAAATATTGAATATTGCCATAATGGTATGTACTGGCTGAAAAATCAGGTCTATATATCTTATAGCACAGTGTCAGGCACAAATTAGGCAATCAGTATTAATGAATGAATGAATAGGAGATTCACAAAGTGATAGTCTCCTTGAGCTCTAATAATCCATAATTTTCATTCTATCAGTATTTAACTTACATGAGTTTTATTTTCTTTACCTAAAAAACAGGGAAAATACCAAGTATTTTGCAATGTTAGACTCATTTAAAGGAGTGCATGAGTTAATTTGTGCCAGTGTTCTCTCAAAAAAACACAATCTGCTCCATTGGTGATGTGAAAAGGTCTGCATGTAAAACAAACAAAGAAAAGCCAGGGTATTTAAGAAATTATATAGGTTGTCTTAACTTCAAAACCTCCCTTTATTAGCCACTGATAGAAAATAAGGAAGAATAGATCATCCACACATACATGAACATATACAAATTCTATTTTATGATTAAATGCCTATATTTCATTTCTTACCCAAAAGATTGTTTGCAAGAAATTATTTTAATTCACCAGGGATTTTCAATTGCTAAATAAATGAAGGTTATATGCAAAAGAAAGAGAATTTATGCCAATCAAGTTGCACAGTATTATACTGATTCATCCATATATTATATGCCATCTAGAAATCTAGGCTATAAATCCTAGTTCAAATGTGGATTAAAAGTATAACTCCTTAGAATGGAATCACAATTTATTCTTTTACATATAACTGGTCTGGCAAGCTAGCTAGCTGCACATTTTAAATTCCTGTATCATTCTTACCTGGAAACTTTGACTGAAATACACAGCAGTCTACACTTTTATAATGTCCCTTAAGCATAGTTATCTGTTCTCCTGAGTAAACTGTATAAACAGCAATGGTGCTACCATATGGTACAAAAACAAATTCTGAACTGCAGCCACAGGAGACAGTGAATTTCAATCCTTTTTTACTGTTATTACAAACTTTTCCATAGTTCACCTGTAGGATTAAAATAATAAAGTTACTCATCTCTTAAATCTGAATTTAAAAGACAACAAAGACTAGTAGAAATACTTAAAAAATATTATGCTATAAAAAGGGCTTTTTTAAATTTAAGGAAAACATTCAACATCAACAGAACAAGGGCCAATGACATGAATGTACATTTAACATAAGAGGAAATACAAATAGTAAAAAACCACAAGGGTAAATGTTTACCTTTCAATCTAACAGAAGTAAAATACAGACTGCAACCTTGAAGAATCATTCTAGACCATTGAGCAAAAAATTTTAAAAAACATAAGCTATTAAATACTGGCAAACATGTTGGTGGCAGTGTAATTTGGTGATTCTTTCTAAAAGGGCAAATGGTTTATTAACACAACCATTCTTTTCAAAAGAAATAATTTTTTTGAGGGGTATACAATATTCCTCAAAAAACATTCTTTTCAAAAGAATTCCCCCCACAAAATTTTTTTTAGAAAGAATACCAGCAAAAAACAAGTATCATGCTTTTGAAAAGACTTGTATTTCTTTTTCAAAAGGATTGAAAATAGGACTGAAAATTGAAAAAATTAAAAATTTGATATTTTCAAAAGGATTGAAAAAAATAACATTATCCTCCCCCCAAAAAACAATATAATTCTTTTGAAAATAATTTTTTTGGGGGGTAATATTTTTTGGGGGGTATATTCTCTCTCTCTCTCTTTTTTTTTTTTTCCTGTTGATGCTTCTTTTATTTCTGTTATAAAACAGAATAGAGGTTAAATAAAGGGTATTGGGTTTTTCAGGTCCAGCCTCTTGGGGCTCTTTTTACTGGAGAGAGTGGAAAAGACACATAGCTGGGGAAGGATTCTTCTAATATGCAGATGCTTCAGGGAGAACCAAACTATTTCACTGGTAATGCCCCATCCCACTGGAACTGGTGCTTGGAGCAGAAGAAAAGTGAGATCAGTCAATTGGTCACCAACACTATCATCGGCATTGCCAGAGAGTTCAAGGGCAGACATCAGGGAATCAGACAGCTCCCTGGTGATTTTATCTGCCTGTTTCTGCATCTTTTTATTCTTCAGGGAGGATGCCAGAGCCTGGCCCTGTTGCAGAGGGTCCATCTCCATGATCTCCTGCAGTACTGGGCAGCAGTCCATTGGGCAGACATCACTCTACGGTTGTTTTTAGTGTGGTGGTCTACATTGAGTTTGGCCCACACCATCTGATGACGATTTGGATTGGTGCAATACCCAGTGAAATCTCTAATCTTATATACAGTGGTTTTATTTTCAATGGCATCTGCTATTTTCATCATCAGAGAATGGAGCGACTTGATTTCCATTTCCAGTAGGTCTGTGTCACTCAACAGCTCATCAGATTCTCCAGTGGCCAAGCATTCCATGGTGTCTTCATTGGTCTGCTTGGTATCCTCAATGTCAAAGACCTTGGTCATATCCTTAAAGATCTCAGCACTGAGATGGGTGGGAAGTGTGAGTGGGTGGTGGTGGTCTATAGAAGCTGATCTTCCTGCTCACCCAGTCAGCTAGGACAGCTTTGGCTTCCTGCTCCTGACTGTATAAGCCTGTCTTCTTCTCTCCCAAATGGTGGGCAACTGTTGGCAGAAAGTGCTCAGTGGTCTGGAACCCAGAGAGGCAATAATAGTTGGAAATCTACTCCAGGTTGCAGTGCTGCAGGTTCGTCTCCACCAGGGTCACGAGGTCTGCCAGCCTCTGCACGTGGATGCAGTCATGCAGGATGGTGCCCAGCCTCTGAGCTGGGTCCTGGGACAATGCCTGGAGCATCCAGCAGCAGGATGAACTTGTCCAGGTAGATCTCCTGTGTGAATTTCATGACCCCAGGAATGGCTCCCACATTGCATGCATGGCTGCACTTCAGGCTGTAAATCAGGCTGCTCTTCCAAACATTGAGAAGGCCCACAATGCCAATATGGATGTGGGTGCGCACCTCACCAAGGTGGCGATAGTTTCCCGGAACGCTCATGAGGTTTTCAGCTCCAAAGCTGACCTGATGCTGGATCCCAGCCTTATGCTCAAACTACTCCTGGCGTCTTAGGATATTCTCACAGTAGCTCTTGATAGACTTGTGTTCTGTCTTGTTGCTCCCAGGCAGCTTGCTGCTTCTCCCTCATTTTCTCAACCCTCTACTTCAGTTCAGCCTCTAGATTGGCATGATCATTGGAGTGAACAAACTGAGGAGCAGAGGGCACTTTGGAGGTTGCTTTCTTCCCATTTTGTTTTGCAGGCTTCTTACTGCCTTTACCTTCTTTACCTGGCTTTTCACTTTTGTTTCCAAGTTTCATCATGATGACCAGCTTGAAAGCAGATAGGTTCAAATCTGCCTGCTCTCTTCCAACACTTCTGGTGGGTATCTGAGAAGAGAGGGTAACAGATGCTCTTGCGCTGCTCCGGACTTCTGACTTCCGGTTGCTAACCTGGCGGCGCCTGACTCTGCCCACTGTGTGGTCTCTGCGAGGGGGCGGGGCTTCTCCCTTCTCTTTATAGTTAAAAATTTTTTCATTGTGGTAAAATACACATGAAATTTTCCATCATAACCATTTTTAATGGTACTCATTTGTATTAAGTACATTCATGTTGTTGTGCAACTGTCATCACTATCCATCTCTAGAACTCTTTTCATCTTGCAAAACTTTGCGCATTAAACAGCAAAGATATTCTTACCCGTTGACCTGGTAATTGCCCTGGGAATTTATCTTAAGGAGATAATTAAATAGCAAAAACTATATGCCCAGAGGAAATCAATCCAGCGTTATTTAGAATGGGGAAATAACTGAGAATAGATGTATATTCCTAGTAATGTCATATTACCTTTATGATTTATATAAATCATAATTATAAAAATTATGCAGAAAACAGGGGAAAAGGCTAAGTGTAAAAAAGCACAGACCACAAATAGTTTGTACACTATAGTTTTACCTTTACATAAATCATTATGTATTTGGGACAAAAATTAAAATTCTGTGCTTTTACTCCAAAGGTGTAGTGTGCAAGCTCAGCTGCGTGAGCATCACCTGAAGCAGTTAGATATGCAGACTTCCAGGCCCCACCCTCAATCCTACCAAAAATAATTTTCATTTTAACAAGATACCTAGGTAATCTGTATGCTCATGCAAGTCTGAGAAGCTTTGGGCTAAATAAGTTGATGGGTTTACTTCCTGATGATAATTTTTATAAGCTTGGGGTAAGTATAAAACCAGTAACTAATCATTTGGGAATCATAATCATGATCATGCATATCAACAAAATCAACTGCTGTCATGGTTAATTCTGAAGTTTAAATATTGATTTGTCAGTTGGGCATGGTGGCTCATGCCTATGATCCCAGCACTTTGGGAGGCAAAGGAGGGCAGATCACAAGGTCAGGAGTTCAAGACCAGCCTGGCCAATACGGTGAAAACCCGTCTTTACTAAAAATACAAAAAAACTTAGCTGGGAGTAGTGGTGGGTGCCTCTAGTCCCAGCTACTCAGAAGGCTGAGACAGAAGAATCGCTTGCACTTGGGAGGCGGAGGTTGCAGTGAGCCGAGATCTTGCCACTGTACTCCAGCCTAGGCAATAAAGAAAGACTCCGTCTCTAAACAAAAATGAAGGGATTTTTTTTCCTAAAGGTTAGATGGGAGTGTGTATGTTTCAAATAAAAACATTGAAGTCAAAATGGATATATGCCAATAATCTATGGATAATACACTTGGCTTACTTGTGCCAGAAATGGGTACATGCATTTAGCTACCTCATGGCAGCAGCAGTATCGTGGATTAAATATTAAACTTCTATTCAGCAGACTTGCTCATCTTTTTTTTTTTTTTTGCCCCTTATGAATAATGATTTAACCACTTTGTTTCATTCTTCTTATCTGTTAAATGGAAATAACATCATTTACTCATAGAATTATTTATTGTGAAAAAGCAAATGAAATAATCCATATGAGAGTACCTGGAACACAAAGGTATCAGTAAATTCCTAGATTAATTCCTATACATGTTTAAAAGTATAACATTCCCTCATTTGTGTCTTTTGATCCTACATGTGCAACAAATTGCACAATGATATGGGGGTGGGGTAACGAAGAAAAAATACAAAACACTTTTCAACTAGTATTTCACTGGTCATGCTGGAAAAATTATAAACTGCTAGACTGTGATGGCCTCATTCACATTTGTTTATCAGGACACTTAGCTAGAAAATCTATGTTCTTTCTGCTATACCACATTCCTTTCCAAATATGAACTGGAAAGTGTTGAATAAGGTGTGAATACTGAACCAGTGAATTAGCTTTTGTCTTGTCCTTAGGGTTTCCTCCTCTAATCCATCCTGCAACTTAATGTCACATTAATATTTCTAAAGCAACACTGTGATCAAATCATTTGTGGGCTCAAAAACCATCAAAATTTTTCCAATGCCTATAGAATGAAGTTCAAATAACAGATTAAGGAAGGAAGGGTTGTGCCATTTACTAAGTGCTTACTATGTCACACACTGTGCTAGGTGATCTAAAAATCCCATTTTATGAACATAAATTGCTAGTCATAAAAAGTGGTAGGTAGTAAGTGGCGTGTTAAACATTGTTATGAAAGTATTGAGGAACAGGCTACTTTAGGATATGATATCTTAAAGGTGGTATTTAAGGCAGGCTTCGAAAAGATTTTGATAGGGGAAGAAAATTTTGTAGACTTGAAATAGGATGATGGCAAATCCGATTCCCTTATATTAACATGTGTACCTTTTGTTGCCCCAGGAAAGATACATATCAAGTCACTAAGTGAATACCTAGGTTGATGCAGAGACTGCATCACAAGGCAGCTCATTTTAATGTCAAACAAGTATCAGCATAATAATTAGTAATACTGACACATAGCATTTACTGAAGTCAACATTTGCTGTATTAGATAATGTGCTAAGTGTTGTACGTGTTATTCCATATCCTCAGCACAATATAAATATAATGAGGTAGGCATTACTACACAAAAAGAAA